CATAAGAGCTTACCCTTGTTGTATGGGGGAGGTCCTTAGTAAATGCTTGAAGAATGTGGAATTCTCATAAATTCTATGCTTCCTAGTACTGAGATTAGAAGATGATTTGGTAGTTCCTCTTAAGTTTTTAATACAAAAAAGCAACCTGAAATACGCTGCTTAGGTTATATAAGCCTATATTGTCATGTATCCATACAGACTCTAATATCCTTGGAGTCTAGCTGCTTTCCTATAAAATTAGCAAAAAATGATTTTCATTTGATGTTTAATCTCCATGACAGCATTTAATATGCAAGAATGTAAAACTATCCCAAACGTAGGCTGGGAATGGTAGTATGTCAAGCAGTGATATCACAATACTAATTACATTTTCACAGCAGTTAACAAAAAGGTATTGTACAGGAAACGTCTTTGAATGTGAAGTTGGTCACTTTATGATCTTTGTTTTCAGTGAAACCTCTGTTAATGAGCACAGTTAAGACTTTACTGCTAATGTCCGTTTTGTGGGTGGATATTTAGACTTAAGTGTTTTCCTACTGAAATGAGTGCCTGATGATGCTTGCTTTTTCCTCTGCAGTCAGTGCCACTTAGTGCATTAGAACTAGGCTTGGAAACTGAGGCCGCAGCTGCTGTGAAACAAGAACCAGAGACTGTATCAACTCCAGCCTTATTAAATGTTCGGGTAAGAACTGGTATTGCAGGATTTTTATACGAGTACATCAGTAAAATGTAGCAAAGGAAGTAGGATTGTAAAATACTAGTTTTTGTCATCATCTTGGTGCTACCTGTACTTAAGGTCCTGAAAGCTTAGCATACCCATACCCATGGTTTGGTGTGATCTGTGTAACAGAAGACAAGCAACACATAGAAAAAGAGTTCACTGGACTGTTTGGAGGAGTCCAGCGTGCCTTTTATTTTCCCTGCGTGCATATCCTTGGGATGTGGAAGTCATGTGAACTTGTTTTCTATGGTCTAACTTTGTACCACCTTTCGTAGCTGCAGAGACTTCTCAGCACCACAGTGGTGCTCTAGCTGGCTCTGCTTGAACAGGGGTGTTGGACTAGATGCTCTCCAGAGGTCCCTTCCAACCTCAACCATTCTGTGGTAGTTACACTCAAAATGAGAGTATAAGGAGTAGATCCGCAGTAAAGCGGTTGTAATGAGGAACGTCTGAAAAAGGGGGAAGGTGCACGTATACTTGAAGTAATCCAAGCTATTTACTCTGACAATTCTACAGCTGGCTTGTGTGTGTAGAATTCTCTACAGCTGAGGATTTCCATACAGTAGTTGTATTTTGTGCCTAGGTGATGAATCCGTCATTCTATTTTTTATTTCCTTCTTACCTTAAAACAGAAGTTCACACAGAAATACGTGTAGCAGTGTATTGGTACAAGTTTTGAAAGACACTTCTTGCTCAGACTGTTGGACCGTAAGATAATTATTTTTACTACCTTCAGTGTCATGTGAAGACGATCCTTATTACAAGTCTCTTAAACTGGTGACTCCTAGTTGAATGACAAATAAAGCTGCCTTCTTTTAGTACCATCATAAATAAGAACAACAACTGAGGAGATTTTTAGAAGTCTTGTTTTGTTTTCTAGCAACCCCCATCTACCACAACCTTTGTGCTGAATCAAATAAATCAGCTTCCGACTTTGGGGACTACTATAGTGATGACAAAAACCACACCTGTTACAACCACAAGGCAGACTATCACTGTAGCAAAAATCATCCAGACCAGCACAACAACTCGACCCTCTGTTGCAGCACCAGCAGTACGCAATGCCTTGACCACTACACCTTCAAAGGACCAGATTCAGCTGAAAGATCTACTAAAGAATAATAGTCTTAATGAACTAATGAAACTGAAGCCACCTCCTAATATTGCCCAGCCCGTAGCAACAGCAGCAAGTGAGTTTTCTTACGTTCTTCGTAATTGCAATATTTCACATAAAAGCTGAGATAATCTCATCTGAAGATCTTTGCAGGTCTTGTTTTTCCTTGAGTTGTGGAATACCATGGTGAATTAAAACAGCCCAGACCACTTGATGTGGCCTATTTCAACTTCTCAATGGAGTTAGAAGTCAGGGTGAATTGATGCAAAATAACAGGTTTTGAAAAGTTTTCAAAACTTTTGATTGAACTGTAAGGAATGAGAATAATGACACTTTAGTGTGCAGCTGGCAATCTGCTAAAATTCATACATGAAAAATTACTGAAGTTACGGCACTTGAGTTTGAGTACCTATTTTACTTGAACTTGCATCAGATTCTATTCTACTGTATACTTCATAGGGAATTATGACTAATTACAATCCTTTTTTTTTCCTCCATTGTTGTCTTCTATCTTCCAAATTAGATTTTTAGTGCGTGCCAGTATTTTATCGTAGCGGGTTTTTGTAAAGTATCTCATTAGAAAGAAACTAGAAATCCCTATATATTTCATGGGAAGCATCAGATTTATTCTCTTACACTTAGTGTCCTAAAAGTTTGCTACTTCTATGTTACTGCTGAAAGGTGGTGTTCACTTAAATGCCACAAGTATTTTGTTACCCTGCTCCAAATCTTTACTTTGTAATACCTTTCCATGGTCTTACGTATTTTCTTGGTAGCTTAATGTCAGGGAAAATCTGCATGTATGTTTATTTTAAAATAATAGTTTGTCTGGAAAGCTATGTAAAAGAAACACTAATTTTGTCTCGTTCCAGTTGTTCTGATTTAGCAAGAGGTAACATCAGACTAGTTGAGTTTGTTTGAAAATATCTCTATTGTTACCTTGTCTGAAAGGCATGCAGGCTTCTTACAGCTTATTCCATTTTTATTGTTGCTGAAATAAGGCTTACTAGTTGTATAGATACAGTATGAGGTAGCTTGTTTTATTTCATATGCAGATAAAGTACACAAGAGGTGGCTGTCTCTTAGGACTGAAACTGAAACAAGAGTATGCCTGTGTTTCATTGCTTTTTATTCTAGAGTGGTAAAATAAAAATGGAAATTGAAACCTCAACTAAAGCTGAAGGGTAAAGGAGTGAGGGAGAGAAGCCTTTATAGGACTTATCCCTTTTCTACTAAATGGAGACTGTCAGAAGCACACAAGTAGATAATCACCAAGACGCAATAACTGGTGTGGCACAACTGCAGAAATTAGTTGTGTAGTTTGTATTAAGTGAAAAGGAGATACGCAGCTTCTAGAACTGCGTTTCTAATCTGTGTACTTGTGTTTCTGAATCTCTCATCATCCTTATAAGAAACTTCACAAATACTTGCAGAAAATTCAAGGCAGAAAAGCTCATGGAAGGAAGCATGGTCTAGTCATAGAACTCGTGCAGGAGAAGTTATAATTTAAAAACACTAAGGACTTAAATTATACAACCTCTTTAAAGCAAACAGTTTGACTTGTGCAAATGTCTTAATTGTTTTTAGGATCAGATGCGTTAAGTTTAATGCATGCATTGACCATCAACCTAATGGAAGCTTGAGTGCGCCTTTCAAAATCTTACACTTGTCCTTGTATACTATATCTTAGTTCTGTACTGAGCCTTATTGCCACTTGCTTCTAAATATGGGTAAGGACGGGAAACTTCTCCTCCTTGAAGAATTCCCATGTAGACTTTAAAAACAATTGAATGCAAAATGATGATTTTATTTTTTTTACAGAAGTAGTTGTAGTTTCTCCCAAGGTGGTAAATGCCACCAGACCAGGTAAGTTAATGTCTATTGAATCACCAAGCTTTCTGGTTTGCTGTTAAACTCAAAAGGCTCACAAGATGGAGAATTTCTAAATATTATGTATAGACTTGGTGGTGGTCTCTTTTCTTGGAGTATTTGAAAATGATACGCATGTATGTCAATGCAGTGGTATTGGATGGTAATTTTTATCAAAGAAATAACAGGATTTAACTCCATGCTTGCTCAGAGACTTTTTGATTAAATTTATTGATAGTGTTCTTGAAGCATCATTGTGCTACTTGATATCTCAAAACCTCTCTTCTAGCTCATTAGTAGAGAAGGATGTTAATTTGAGTCAGTGTTTCAAGGGAATTCCAGTAAAATTCAACTTTTCCTTTTTTAAAGCTGATCTAAGCAATGGGGCAGTGAAGAAGGAGGCTTCCACAAAAGAGGTAGCAAGAATATGGATAAATGACATTAAAATGAGAAGTTTTTCGCCTACTATGGTAAGAAGTACAAATGATTAATTTGCTAAATGAATGTCTTTTATTGGCCGCAGCCTCCTGTAACTAGTTTCTCTAGTTGCTCGTATATGCCTTTTGTGCTGTGGAATTGTATTGAGTACATCTATTTCAGAAAAACATTAGTTTCTGTTAGCTGAGTTCTTTATTACATGACTAAAACTAACAGCTGTATAGAGCAGACTCCCTATGTGTTAAATAAGAATTCCAGGAAATGACCGACCTTAACAGGACCTCATTGTGTGGACAGAGGGCTGTGCTTCATTAAAGCTGGTAAACAGCTCCTTCGCTCTGTTTTAAGACTTTTTTTTTCTTCTGTTTTAAAATATCCCTATTTGTATAACTAGATATGTAGCAGTAAAGAAGCTAGGAGACTCTCTAGCATGACTGACGTTCTGGGCTGTTGGAATTAAGATGTAAATTGAGTATCTTCTTTCAATACTTCCAAATTCTAATGAAAACACATTCTGGTGCTATAAGCACTTGAGTTTCAGCAGCTTCACTCAAAGTTAAACTCAGGTTGAAGTGCATGATGACCGGTGCTCCTTAGGAGTGCTTGGCATGCGGTAGGTTTTTTCAGATGACTACTTTTTATTAAATATTGAATTAGTAATTATGAAAGATTTTGACTTGTAATGGAGAGAGTGCTTTAAATTCAGGTATTTTCATTAACCAAGACCGCAGCAAAATGTGTAGCTATTAGGGTTCAGAAAATACGGGATATAACTATAGTTAACTATTCCCCTAAGCTGTGAAGTTGCTTAAGGAATGTGAAACTAAAGGAGATTTCATGGGTGTATATGAAGTTAGTTTTTTGGCTTTTGACTAGCTGTTGTGTTTTAAAGGCAATTTCTTTAAGTCTTAGTTTAGATTTAAAATGCTGTTAGAATAAAGAATAGTGTGTGTGTGTGTGTGCTTTGTTTTTTGGTTTTTTTCTTCTGCTTATGTGAGTTTGGAGCACTTGAATCCTTGTAAAAGAGATGAAGTTCCCTGACTTTTTGTGATTTTCATTTGATTGGGTGGAATTCTGTCTTTGAAGAGTTGTTCAGAGCTTAAGAAAAATGCTTCCTTTTGTAACTTTTCCCTGCCGATCACTGATTCAACTAGCGCACGCATTAAAATGTTCAAGTCTGTGCTGCTTTCCTTTCTCAGGTTAGTTTCCAGGACACGGAGTATTAACAAGGTGCTATTTGACTAATGCAAGTGTTTCTGTATTTCAGAAAGTGCCAGCAATAAAAGAGGAAGAGGAACCTGAGGAAGAGGATGAAGAAGAAATGGGCCATGCAGAAACTTATGCTGAGTATATGCCAATAAAATGTATGACAGTTTTCCTATATCACAAGACTGAAATACTTGGATAGCTGAATAGTAACAGTAGAAGAATAAATAATGTACACACCAAAATACTATAGCTTTAATAGTTGAATCAAATAAAAAAAGGACCTGAATTTGTGGCCTTGTTTTTCGCCTAGGGAATTTTTCTTCTACTGCATTTAGTCAGTTTTGGAAGCTGTGCAGATCTCTGAGTAGATAAGGAATTTGTTAGTGTATCTTTGGGCAGTGTTTGTTTCTAAAACATAATTGATGAAGCAAAACTAGGCATATACATATATATATTTTTTTAAACCTGTACTAAGAAGCTTTATTAAGAAGGAAATTATTTTGTAAAGGAATTAAGCGGTCACTACTACACTTCAGAATCCATTTAGAGTGTTTGGGTGTGAAATTACCCAAAGCACATTCTTCCTATGCTGTTCCTAACTTATTGCTTAGATTTGCAAAATGAGTCTGACTGGGTGAGTCTTTTCCAACCATTAATTGCCATCTGCCCTTTTTTCCCCTCCCTTCTCCTTACTGTGATGGCAAAAAAAGCTGTAATCTTACCTTCCTAGTTACATTGCTGATACTGCTGTAAAGGCAGAGCAAAAAATTAGTTTTGCATGTAGTTTGTAGCTAAATGGTTAATTTTTGTCACAGATGAGATCTGCCAGCAATTAAACCATGTCTGTTCTAAATCTTTTCTCGTACTGCTCAAAAACAACACTATATAAATAGTGAGAAGAATGTTGCTTTTGTGATTCTGGCATCTTGAGGCCTCTGGTCTTTTGGGAAGGCAAGACTGAGAGCAGTTTCTCTCAAACATATGAAGTGCATGAATATATTCCTTTTTATGAAATGGACTTGTATCTAATTCATAAAAACTGGGGGAAGGTGGAGAGAGAAGAGAGAAAAAGCTAGGTTTCACAATTGTATATGTTCAGATTGAGTTATTTTGTATGTGATGCAGTGTTTCTTTGACACTCCATTTTTGAAGATGTATAATTAGGGTGAAACGTGGTTATTCCTGAGTTCAGCCTTGGCAATGGACAACTGTAACTTGTTTTGGTAAATATTAACCTGTGCTGCAACAACAAGCACTCCTCTTTATGTTCTCATCTTTCCTCCCTTCCCTCACCCTCCTTCCCAAACAGTAAAAATTGGTCTACGTCATCCTGACCCGGTAGTGGAAACCAGCTCATTATCCAGTGTAACTCCTCCTGATGTGTGGTACCAGACATCAATATCAGAAGAAACAATTGATAATGGCTGGTTGTCAGCTTTGCAACTTGAAGCAATCACTTATGCAGCCCAGGTATGCTAGGCATTAGTGGACCTTACAAAGTAACACAGAATTTGAGAGGAAAAAATGCTGTCTGACAGGTGCAACTATGTCTAGTTTATAAAGAGAAAACAAAAATGCAAAGGTTTGTGTTCCATGAAAAGGTGGCAGGTGAGCTTTGGTCTAGATAAATGTGAGGTAATACACCTAGGGAAGAATAGTCTAAATGACTTACTAATCTCAAAACTGTCATAAGACTCGGGAAAGCTATCTTGGAGTCCTTGTTTTTATTTCTCTGAAGTAGCTTCATGCGCTGTCCTAGCAGCAGCCAAAAAAGCCAGTGCTGTTGGGCATCACTGGGAAAGGGAATTGAGAGCAAGATTGGGTTTTGCTGCTGTATGAAAACCTTGGTGGGCCCGCCTCTGGTATTGTGTGTGCGGTTCTAGTCTCTGCATTTCAAGGAGGAAGGTAGTGGAGTTAGGACAACTAAAATGCCTCATGAAGAGAGACCAAAGAGACTGGGACTTTGCAGGTTGGAGACAAGAAAAATGGAGGGGGACAATATCAAAGGTTTACATAATCAAGGAGGCAGTGGATTTAGCCAAATGTGGAACTGCTCATCGGATCACAAAAAAAGAGGCAAAGGGAGCCTGATGAAACTGGTAGCAATTTGGTTCGAAACTGATAAAAGAATACTCCTTTACACAGTGGGTAGTTATGTCTGGAGCTTGCTGCCACAAAAGGCTGTGGAGACTTTTATCAGTGGGTTTGAAAAAAGCGGTTGGAAAAACTCATGGGCAGCAGGGTCTGTTCATGGTTACTAAAAGGACTAGACAGGGATGTATCTTCCACAGCAATTCTGGATGCTGAAGAAAGTGAAAGGAAAGGACCATATGAAGTAGTCAGGCTCATGTGATCTCCTTAAATTACATCCTCTCTTGCTGCTGTCAGAGCATGAGTGCTTGGTGAAGTGGACACCTGGTCTCATCCAGTAGGATGTGTCATATGTTTGCCCATTTCCAACAATCCACAGTGACATGTTTTGTAGAATGAATACAAGTTTTTGTTCTTTCTCCTACAGCAACATGAAACATTCCTGCCCAATGGAGACAGAGCTGGATTCTTGATAGGTGATGGTGCTGGTGTAGGAAAAGGAAGGACCATAGCTGGAATAATCTATGAAAACTACTTGTTAGGTAGAAAAAGAGCAGTCTGGTAAGTGCGTCAGGATTTGTTAGAGCAAACAGTATAGTGACTATAGTACTTAAATTCAGTGTAATCTATCTTTAGACAAATGTTTTAGATAACTGCTTTTAAGCTTTTACTGTAACTTGGGGTGTATGCTTTGTTTTGTATCTTCAGGTTTAGCGTGTCAAATGATCTGAAATATGATGCTGAAAGAGACTTGAGAGATATTGGAGCAAAAAACATTTTGGTTCATTCATTAAACAAGGTGTGGAAACTTTTTTCTATGTACAGTTGAGACAAAATTTTAGGTACGCTTGTGTGACAAGTTGTGCACGTTAACTGTTTTAAGAGTAAGAATGTACTAATTTTAAGAAACTTGCTGTCTGGATCTTGTTTGACAGGCCTTCTTAATCTTGTGAAGAATCACACAGTGCTTTAAGTTAGTTGTGTAAATAGGCCCCGTGTAGGATTAACTCTTAGCATGTGTTTTTTCTTTTTTTAAAACATTAGTCTTCAATACTGACACTACTGAGTAGAAAATTTTCTAGAAGTTGAAATGCACCTTGAATCTTGTAGACTTGACGTTTTTTTAATCCCACCACCTCCAGTGCATATTTTAGGTATTTAGTGTAATACTTGAATAGATTCAGCATTTATTAAAGTAGTGGTAGTGTATGAAGTTATTTTCAGATACTGCATCTGTGTGTAGTTAGCTATTAATATAAAATGCAGAGTGACTAGTGGTTGAATTCACTGTCTGAACTTAAAGTTCACTTTAAGTTAGCGTTCTTGCTTTGTTTTAGAAACTAAGATTTCATAACGCTTCTGGAAATTGTATTTATAGTTGCTACTGTAAATGACATTTGACCTATTAGCTCTAAGTGATACATTGAAACTTAAATGTTGGTTGTATTTAACTTAAGCAAACCGTATAATTGGAGAACTTGGGTGTTAATCTTTAGAGGCCTCAGATCTAGTCTTCAATAATATATTTAAGCGCAGCCCGTAAAACCTCTTAACCAAACTCCTAGATGCCAGTTATGGCCTAGTCATGATCTAGGGCTCCAGGAGGTTTAAAGAGTACAAACATCAACATTGAGATCACCAGCATGCCTTAATCCTATGGTAGGTAGATCTGAGGGGGGAATCTCTCTTGAATTTCTGTAATTTTTCTTATCTCATTGCAGTTCAAGTATGGAAAAATTTCTTCAAAACATAATGGAAGTGTGAAGAAGGGTGTCATTTTTGCCACCTATTCTTCTCTTATTGGTGAAAGTCAGTCTGGTGGTAAATACAAAACCCGATTAAAGCAGCTTCTTCACTGGTGTGGTGAAGACTTTGATGGAGTTGTATCCTTTGTCTTGAGTTCAGCTGATTCTAATTGAATTGTTGTTTAAGTTTACATCTTTAAAGATAGCAAATAAGAATAAAAAACCTATCATTTTCAGGTATCATTATTCATGACAGTAATGGATTGTGTGCCTGCTCTGACACTATGAGCTTTGAAAAAGTATGTTTTTCCTTAATTAAGGTTCAGATTGTATTTGACGAGTGTCATAAAGCTAAGAATCTGTGTCCTGTTGGTTCATCAAAACCAACAAAAACGGGTCTGGCTGTGTTGGAACTTCAGAATAAACTTCCAAAAGCTAGAGTTGTTTATGCTAGTGCCACAGGTATGTGCTACTTGGTTTGCATTAAATGTGTGTATGCTTTTAGTGGCATTGGTACAGACTGTGTTCTGCTCTTAGGTGCGTCTGAGCCAAGAAATATGGCATATATGAACCGTCTTGGAATATGGGGTGAAGGAACTCCATTTAGGGAATTCAGTGACTTCATTCAGGCTGTTGAAAGAAGGTAATATTTTAAAGAGCGCTAGCAAGAGCGCATATGGTTGTGATTGACTCAGTTTTCCAATTCCTTTGTCTTCACTCACTCAGTCCTCTTCAAACTCATCCTGTCATACTAAAAACTTTCTGCCTCTTTGCTTCTAAATCTAGCAGAAATTTCATTTATCTTATGTGGTGAGAGTGGGGACACTTCTCTCATTCACAGAAAATTTTGTGAACTTTAGAAGTTAGCTGGGAAAATAGCCTTCCCAAAATGTGGGTGGTGTTACAAGAGTAAAAATGTTTTGCAGATCATCACGAAAACATGCTGTATGTGCTCAGTACACTCAGTATAGTCAACATCTCACTATAAGTAGAAGCCCTTTAATGTTTATGCACTCAGCTTATGCAGCTTAACAGAAATAAGTCGTGTTCTTGGGCTTTCTGGCATAACAATTCAGTTCAGAGAAATCATGTGTTCTTTTGCTTATGCTGTGCAGGTTTGTAAGTTAGAAAGGTGCTTCACGTTTCAGAACTTGTAAAGCAAACTAAATCTGAGAGGTCAGTAGAAAATGCCACTGCTGCATTCTTTGGTAGGTGAGCATTTTAATACGTTCTGTTTTGTGAGCTTGAAGGATTTTTGAACACTTCAGAATGCTACAGTAGAGCTTAGTATACATCTTCTCGCATACTATCTCCATGATGCATGATTTTTCTAGACTGAAAGTGTAGCCTCCACTCCATTACTGAGTACGAATCAAATGAGCAAGAATGAAATTACAGGCCCAGGCTAGTGAGTAGGTTAGTTTTGCAGTTGACTTCTATGCTCTCCAGGTATTGCTAAAGGTTTGTTGCTGTTGAAGAGAACTTAGCTACCTACTAGTTTAGTTATTTTTCACTCAGCATAAATCTAAATAACTTAATACAACCTGTATCCATATTTTAAATACCCAGTGAAGTTCATAGAACTGTAACACAAGGTTTTTGTGTAGTTGGATCAACTTCATTATCAGATTACACTTTGTAAGATATTATTTCCTAATGCATGTTAGAGCACTCAGTAAAAGTACTGTTTGAGTGTTCTTCTGTGTTGGGATGTAGTTAATGCTCATGAGGCAGAGGTGTGGTTTTATGTGGAGGCTAAACGTCAAGACCACTTGATTCAGTGTGTTTAACCAAACAGCATTAATGGTTTTGAAAACACATTTCTTCACATCTGTAAGCATGCTGTTTACTTCTAAAACGCTTGTTTTTTTTAACAAGTTCTTGCTTTTGAAAATGCTAATATTGACTTAATTTGTTCCTTTATTTTAGGGGTGTTGGTGCCATGGAAATAGTTGCTATGGATATGAAACTGCGAGGAATGTACATAGCAAGACAGTTGAGTTTTTCAGGTGTAACTTTCAAAATTGACGAAGTTCTGCTTTCACAGGACTATGTTAAAATGTACAATAAATCTGTGAAACTGGTAAGAATACCTTTTTAAATTCACTTCCTATATTGAATGTGAGAAGTTGAATTTACTTGGTTTAAACTCGAACGCTCTTGAAGTTGCATGTAGTGTTGTGATCCCTGTCTCATTTCAATGTAAAACTTTCTCTGTTTAAGACTTGGGCAAGAGCTTTTTGTTTTTGTTCTGGACCATAAAAAGTTTAGTTCTGAGTATCTTGCGATGTCTGCCAGACCCACTGACTACTAGCAGTGCATCAGGGACCTCGACTGTGGTAGCCCAAGATAAAGCTGTTCACCTGCTGGTTGTATTTGACCCCTCCAGTCCTTCTGATTCTGCTTTAGGGGAAAAAAGCTGCAAACAAGCTGTAAAGCTTGACTTGGCACTGAACAGAGTGCATGCACTTCTTCGTTAGAATATTATGGTAGAGCATGTGCTTCTTGATTAAGCAGTACAGGGTGGTAATTTTATATATGCAGATCAAATCCAAAGCATCCAAGCTATGGCTTCCCCCACCCTTTTTTGTTTTATTTTCATTTATTCTCTTACTGATTATCTCTTTCATGTTATTCTTACTTGTTTTGCCCATATACTTTTCTTGAGAGCACATTCTCTTTGTACAGTACCATCGGTGTATTTAATAGAAAGTATTTATTCCCTTAGATGTAGGCTAAAATGAGCAGGATCTTTACCTGCTTAAAAAGGGCTTAAGCATGACTCAGTTTTGTTGCATATCTGCAATAATTGAAACTTATCTTTCAGGCAGGTATAACAGCAGCTTTTAAACAGCATTTCATTTTATGAGCTTACTGATTCTTTTAAGCAGTGTTCATGGCCAAAACTTACTTTACCTAATCTCCTGCAGAAGTCTGGCTTTAATGTTCTTGTCTTAAACAAGTTTAAAAGGGATAGCAAGATGCTCTTTTCAAATGGAAGGCAGTAGATTTTTTTTTTCTCTTTTTGGTATCTTGCTTACACTTAATTATGGGCCGTTCTCTTTGGTTTCTTAGCCTAAGTGTATTAATGGAGAAACTAGATAATTAGAAAATACTGTGCATGTTTGCTTTGGTAGTAATGTAAATGAGAGTAATTATGTCTTTAACTTAATGAGACGTAGCTGCTGTTTTGTTTATTGTGAGCTTTGTTTGATGTATGGTGAGCTTCCCTGACTTGCAGTCCTGCAGGGCTCAAACTTTTAAACTTCATTTCTGTCTTACTTTGGACATTAAAGAATATATCTGCTTAGCCTTGAAATGCTACATGTAAAACAACTAACGTTCTCTTCTTCAGTGGGTTAGTGCCAGAGAGAGGTTTCAACAAGCAGCTGATCTTATTGATGCAGAGCAACGAATGAAGAAGTCGATGTGGGGTCAGTTTTGGTCAGCCCATCAGAGGTTTTTCAAGTACCTTTGCATAGCATCTAAAGTGAAGAGGGTAGTACAGCTAGCTCGAGAAGAAATCAAGAATGGAAAAGTAAGTTGATGAAGACCTTTATTTTTTCAAATGTAGAGTTATTAGACTTTATAACAAATATTTTCAAAGCTATTGTAGTAGCGTGCTCTTGTATTTTTTGGCATTGAAGCTATTTAATGAACAGAAATGCAGGCAAAAAATAAATGTACAAGTTAGTCTTAGTGACAGTGTCTTGTATTCGTTTGTCCTTCAGTGTGTTGTTATTGGACTACAATCAACAGGAGAAGCAAGGACATTAGAAGCTTTGGAAGAAGGTGGTGGTGAACTGAATGACTTTGTTTCTACAGCAAAGTAAGGCTTGAAGTTTCAGAACTGTCCTTTCTGGAACAGCCTTCCGAATCCAGCATAACGCGTGTGGTAGTTTGTGCTTTCACATGCAAAAGATGCACCCAGTTCTCAGGAAGCTGGATTTTCTTTGGTACCGGTGTCCTTTGCTTAAGCTTCCTGTGTATAAAATCTGATAGTACTGCTCAAGAGAACCATTGGCTAGTTCCTAGTTCTGCTTGTGCTATGTTACATGATGTTCTCAAGCATGAACAGCCTGTACTGCTCTACTAAAACTTAATGGGGAGAGGAAGACTTGTAAAATGTATGCTGGGTTTGCACCAGAATTGGTTACAACCATGACTGCTTTTTTTAATCAGATGAGCTGGATCCAACCATGAGAATACCTTGCTGAAGATTTAAGTGGCAGATTAAGTTAAAATAGTACTAAACCTTGAGCGATAAGAAAGAGGCAATAACAATAACACTAGATTAACACTTTAAATTGCTAAATATGAATTTTAACAAGTCATATGTAACAGTACTGTAAAGCAAACGTCTCCCACCACTTTTAAGAGGGTGGCAAGCACAGTAATATAGATAATTATCCAAGGTGCTTCTTCAATGGCATTCACAAGGAATAATTTTTCAGAAAAGTCAAGCTGCTAAAATGTTAGAGGTTTCTACTTTAAATAAATGCAAATTAGACTGAATAACTTTTTTTTTTCCCCCTCCCCCTTTCTTAAACAGAGGAGTATTCCAGTCTCTCATTGAAAAGCACTTTCCAGCTCCTGACAGGAAGAAGCTGTTTAGCTTGTTGGGAATTGACTTGACTGCTCAAAGTAATAACAATTCACCTAGAGACAGTCCTTGCAAGGAAAATAAGATAAAGAAACGGAAAGGTAAATGTTTAAGTTAATTACACTGATGCTATAGAGAAAATGGTAGCTTTAGAACTGCCTGAAAGAGAACTCGATATTTACACATCCAAAATTTTTATAAATACCAATGTTCATGAAACAGCATGTATTATAAGTTTTAAACTTATATTACAAGCTTCTGTTAATGATTTGAAAATCAGCTGCTGAGGTGATAGAATCTGCAAATTCTTTTTGTTAATTCTTTTAGGCCAAAAAATTGGGCTGATGTAGAATAGGACTTTATCCCAAAGTAACTTGCACGTATCAGCCCACTTTCTGGAAGCAGTGAAGCCCACTGCTCTTTAAGAGGCTGAGTAAAGAAAAGCCTAAACGCCGCCCCCTTCCCCTACATGTACATGCCTGATGATATCCTTTTTTCCAAAAAAAATTAGGTGATTATAAAAGCAGAAGAAAAAAACAGGTACGTGGGGAGAAGGGGCTTACTGAAGGCTTAGATTACTCATTTAACATTTTTTTTTTAAGTTGTGCTAAAACAGTTACATTTTTGGAAGCTGAACACTTTTCTACTTAGCATGCAGTGGTAGTAATACAACTCTCAAAAGTGGGCTAGAAGGTCTAAACTAGCTTTTTATTTTTTCTTTTTCTCCTGGGGTGGTGGATCTAGGTGAAGAAATAACCAGAGAAGCAAAAAAAGCTCGTAAAACAGGTGGCCTTGCAGGTAGCAGCTCTGATGAGAGTGAAAGTGAGTCGGATGCTTCAGACAACGAAGAAAGTGACAATGAGAGCTCCAAATTTTTGAGTTCTGGAGATGATGATGACTTCAACCCATTTAGAGATGAATCCAGTGAAGATGATGAAAATGGTAAGGCAGTCTGTTCCATCAAGTATGTAACTATACTTGCAAATATTAGGCATAGAGTCTTCTCTAAGCACTTCAGTGCACCAAAAATAGAAGACTGTATATCTTAAGTAGGTAGTTGGAAGTTTAATGAGACTAGGATTATTTCTAGAATGTTTATTTGCAGCTTCTTTAAGTAGATGTTATGCACTAAAGTTCAGACTAGTCAGTTTTGTAATGAGCATAATTTTTTTTTTAAAGGAAAGGATAGCTTATTATAAGTGCTTGAAGTGTTTTGAAAATATTTTATTTAGCTTCAGATCCCTGGCTAATTAGAAAAGACCATAAGAAAAATAAAGAAAAGAAAAAGAAGAAAAGTATAGACCCAGATTCTATTCAAAGTGCCTTATTAGCTTCTGGTCTTGGATCAAAACGACCTAGCTGTTTTACTTCCACTGTTGGTACCACCACGTCTAGTACCAACACATCAGGTAAGAACAAGTTTCTTTGGAGTTGCTTCACTTTCTTGGCAATTAGGCAGTGAACTCTTAAATCTTAATTTCTTTTGAATTTCAGCAAACAGTAATACAAACAGCAGCTTTGTAACAAGTCAGGATGCTGTCGAAAGGGCTCAACAAATGAAAAAAGAGCTGCTTGATAAACTGGAAAAGTTGGCTGAAGATCTTCCACCTAACACACTGGATGAGCTTATAGATGAACTTGGTGGTCCTGAAAATGTTGCAGAGGTGGGTTGATGCTCATATTTAGAGAAACTTGCTATTTTTTTTCTCAGCTGCAGCCATGTGTTACCTGCCTAGCTGCAGTAAATCAGTGTTGTCATTCTTTTCCAAGGTTATGTGTGACCAAACTATATATTAAAGAGAACTTGTTTGTTGGTCTTGAACAGTAATCTAGCAAGTATGAGAATATAGGGCTCTTACACTGAATGCCTCTGATTTAAAGAGAAACTTGAAGGTTGTATTAGAATACAGAGAAGAGCTCTGAAGAGGTGAATGTTCAGGGATCACCGGTGATAGTTTCCTGTTAGGTAAATAGGGCTAGCTTCTGTTTTTTCTTGTCTACAGCATATTGTTCCAACTAGTTGTAGTCAGTTTTAAAACTGGTGTACATGAGAGATGAAGCAGTGATAAGATGAAATAACTACTTCATCTTCTTAGGCAGCAAAAATTAACTTGTATAATTGCATTGTGAAAAGTCTGTGTCTAATAGAGTTAAAAGCTCTCTTCTTTTTATCTTTAATTAACATTCAGCTTTTCAGTTCAAGACATGGTTACTGCAGTAGCGTATAAAACTTTGATTGCTAACACTTCTGCTATGGACAGTAGTATGCTACAGTGCCACTTCTGCATAGATATGCTTTTCTTGTACTTTCCCCCGAGTTACTTCTAAGTAAGTGTTCCACATAGCAAACCATAGCATCAATCAAAAATAATCCAGGTAGTTTTATACTTAGTCAGCAATTTACTCCGACTTGCACTTTGAGGTTAATGTAGGATTCTGTTGCTTGGCAGTCTTGATCATGTAATAATTTTGGCATTGCTATAATGACTTTGTATTCCCTCTTATTTTAAAGATGACAGGCCGCAAAGGAAGAGTTGTAAGCAATGATGATGGCAGCATATCTTACGAGTCAAGATCTGAACTCGATGTGCCCGTTGAAATTCTGAACATCACAGAAAAGCAGAGGTTCATGGATGGAGATAAGGTAATTCTTAGAGGCACAGTTTAGAAGAACTTGCCAGATGACATAGTAACATGGGCCGACTGGTTAAGTTATTAGGTTGTGGCTCTACCATTATCTCACAGTGACATTTTAAATACAAATCCTACAATAGGTAGAAAGGATTTGTTATTCACTACTGAGCATTTTGTTCTTCAAACCTGTACGTTCAATAGTCCTATCTAGTATGTGGTCTCAGCCTGTTCTAAGGGTCAGGCTGTAGTTGAGGTAGGTGAGGAGGCTAACCTTCAGATTTTGAACTGCTTCTCAAGAATAATGGTAGATTTGGAGCTGATGAAAGTTTCGTTTTGGTTCCAGGATGGTTTTCCTGGGTTTTTTTGTTTGTTTGTTTGCTTTCCTTGCCTGTGGTTCATTTGAGATGTGTTACCACAAGAGGGCAAATCAAGTAAATGTAGCTGTTGCATGGAACTTCTTTGGCCTGTTGTTACACTTTAGGGGAAATACTCATGTTCATGTAAGCAACTTGCACATAGTCCAAACACTTGCATTCTTTCAAGACAAATGCATTCACATACTGGAATGGCTCTATCTTCTTCCATATACAGTATTAACAATAACTTTTGTGCTCTTTCTTTGTCACTTGCTATCAGAGCAAGTCTCTTCTGTTCCTCACCTTTTCTTTCTCAAGTGCAGACCAACATCAGAGAAACTGAGAAACCTGCCCTTTGGAATGGCAGAACTGCAGCATATTGCCCTTCTCTGTTTGCACAGAAGGGTGTTGCTGAAAAGTGAAGACCGTTCCTTTTGCTGTTAGTTAGCGTTTCTAACTTTGATAAAGAGAACCATCTTTTTTTTCCCCCCCTTCCCACTACTTGAGATAGTAAGACCAAATGATAGTGATAGTATTCCAGACTGATATTAGTAGTAGTCTGGAAATTAGTGAGGTTTTTGTGTATGTGGTTGGGGGTGGGGGTGGGGGGGTTGTTTGTTTGTTTTTGTTTTGTTTTAATGAAAAATGAAGCTTGATCTTGGGTTTAGTGCTAACTAGCAACTTTTCTCTTAATAAAAGAACATAGCCATAATCTCGGAGGCTGCCAGCTCTGGTATCTCGTTGCAAGCAGATCGTAGAGCTAAGAATCAGAGGCGGAGAGTTCATATGACTCTGGAGTTGCCATGGAGTGCAGATAGAGCAATACAGCAGTTTGGTAAATAATGTTTTTGTTGTTGTTGGGTTGTTTTTTTTTTACTCTTTTTCCCCCAGCAAATTCAGTGAGACTGAACTTGGTGCTAATTCATGGAAAGTAAGATTGACTGACTAACCTCTTAAGGACCCTTCTGATCTCCTTTACCCAAGGCAGGATTAGCTGTGTCTGTAGCCATAGCTAATAGTTTCTAAAGTTTTGAAAGAAACCTAGTGAACAAAAACCTACACTGCAGCTTAACCGAATAGTTCTGTGTGTATCAAGCCTCTGTATGAAGTTGCCACAAATCTGGAGTATCTGCAGACATATTTCTATTGTGATATTTACAGCAGAAACTTTTTTCCGCAGGATTAAGTTCTAGCTATTTCTCTACTGCCCACAGTTTGAGGATGTTATGCTTTATTAGAAACGTTCAGTGAAGTGAGATTTATTTAATAAATGTGCTTCTACTTAATTATCCAGGAAGAACTCATAGATCCAACCAAGTGACTGCTCCAGAGTATGTGTTCCTAATTTCTGAGTTGGCAGGAGAGCAAAGATTTGCATCTATAGTTGCAAAAAGACTGGAGAGTTTGGTAAGACTGTTTCAAGAAATCTGATCCTTCATTTGAGAAAATACAACTTAAATTCTTCTTCCCTCTTTTTTTTTTTAATTTGATTTAACTACAAAGGTATGTCTTAACAGGGAGCCCTCACTCACGGTGATAGACGGGCGACAGAAACTCGAGACCTCAGCAGATTCAATTTTGACAACAAGGTGATGGTTCTGTTTCTGGCTGAATTAAAGTTCATGCTGTAGTGCTTATATTTCACATATGGCCTGTGGAATAAATGCTGCTTCAGTCTCCTGTGAATTGATTTACTTTTTTTTTTTAACTTTTTGATATAATACTTTTTTTTTGAGTTAGCCAGAGAACAATCCTGTTTTTGAAAATGGAAGCACAATTCTGTGTATACATTTATCTCTGTTTGCTAAAAATCCAAGTCCTAAGCAAATGCTATGTATCCTTTCAGTCACAATTAAAAGACTAAATTGGCAATTACAATTAGAAATTAAGACTGTGCTGTTTATATATAATGTAGTTTATAAAGGGAAAAACTAATAAGCAATTCTCCAATTTTACTGTTAAATAGTAGAGAGTAGTAGTTTGCTATGAATTAAAAGTGCTTATTAACCTATGTGTGCTTGGGGCTGAGGCGCAAACCCTAGAACACACTGTTAAAGCAACTTTCTCTTTCTTATGTAGTATGGAAGAAATGCTTTAGAGATTGTTATGAAATCCATTGTGAACTTAGACTCCCCAATGGTCTCACCACCTCCTGATTTTCCTGGAGACTTCTTTAAAGGTAAATATAACTCACTAGGTGCAATCACGACCTTTTTGATCACTCTTCGGTACGTAAAAATGCAAATAATGTTGAGGGTAGAAAATACTTTTTTTAAACCAGTTAGCTGGCTTGGGTCAGTATTCACGGGGCACCATTCCTGTGCGCAGCGCATAGATGTTGAAATGCAGGTATAAAACAAGATATTTGAACCCTCTCAATTCAAGGCAAGTTCTGCATGCTAACTATTTGAAGTGAGTTGGAGCAGTGGGAAGCCTAGATTAGTCACCTTGGCAACTGTTATCAACTAAGGGGAATACAAGAGTGTCTTCTCTCTCTGTTTGGCCAGAGTATTATATATAGTTCCTTAACTTAATTTTCCCATTATCTGTTGTAATATCCCATTCTTCTATGGGTTCATGTATAGTGCTGTTAGTAGTCAGATTCTCTGCCTGTGTGGTGTCTTTGTTTTGCAGGAGGTTTTTTTTTTTTTTTTCCTGTGGAAGGACAGATTACAAGATTCTATTCTGCTTATCAATATGTTAGGTAAAAATTGCAAGCGTTTAGGAGTGGTATCAGAAGTTTTAGAATTCAATCTTGAAACAAGATTGCTAAACAAGCTGTTACTTTGTAGTCTCTAACTCTTTTCTTAGATGTTCGCCAGGGATTGATCGGTGTAGGCCTGATAAATGTAGAAGACAGATCTGGAATTCTAACGCTTGATAAAGGTATCTGTTTTTTATGTATCTCTAGAATGTCTCTAAGAAAGATCACTTATCTTCTTGTAAATCATGGTAGTGGATTCCTAAACAACAGAACTGAAGTTGTAACTAATTTAAAACAAACAAACAAAAAATTGGAAAGCTTGGAATGTTTTCCTTGCTCCTGAGAGAATGAACATGAGTATTACTTTCACAACCCTTTGAAAACTGATTGAAAGCCTATTTTCATTAAATTTAACCTTTTGGTTGACCTGATATACCTTTTTTTTTTTCTTCTTCCTCCCTTTAAGATTATAACAACATAGGAAAATTTCTGAATAGAATTCTTGGTATGGAAGTACATCAGCAAAATGCTTTATTCCAGTATTTTTCTGACACACTAAATGCAGTTATTCAAAATGCTAAAAAGAATGGAAGATATGATATGGGCATCTTAGGTGAGTAAATCAATTTCCTAGTATTCTTGTACTTAGGTAAGAGAAGAGAAGCAGAATAACTCTATCCTTTCCTTTTAAGATTTGGGCTCCGGGGATGAGAAAGTAAGGAAGGCAGACGTTAAGAAGTTTTTAACTCCAGGATACTCTACCTCTGGACATGTAGAACTGTACACAGTAAGTTGTGTGTTGCGTTTGTACTAACTAATAAACTTTTGGTTGCTGTCAAGTTCTTAAAACACTGCAGTAAGCTAAGCTTGCATCTTTTATTGAGCAAGGGGTAGGTTCCATGCCTTTCACTGAGCACTATTTTGTTCTGTTTTTTGTTGTTCTGTTTCGATAACTGTCCCGAAGTATGTTCTCACTTAAATATCCCTGTGTGGCTCTCCTCTAGATCAGTGTAGAGAGAGGAATGTCGTGGGAGGAAGCAACTAAGATCTGGGCAGAACAGACGGGACCAGATGATGGATTTTATTTATCACTGCAGGTAAGATTCTTATACACCTCTTAGACTACGTTCAGAGAATTTGTTTTAGGGCTATTTGAATAAGCTATCTCCTTTGAAAAATGTAACATAGAAATTAAAATCATTGTTCAGTTTTGTAAAATGCTTTCACTCTTATTTTAGGATTGATGCTAATTTTGTTTCCAGCTCTTAGTACAAAGCTCTTAATTCTTAACTGCTCGTAATTTTCTGACAGAACTGTGAGCCTAAACAAATAGCTTTTATTTAAACATGCATCAAGAAAGCAAATCCTTTTGTTATAAGGAGATGCTGGTGGAGGTTAGTGGTACTATCTTCTAAAGCTATCCTTATTATGATTATTTTTAGTATTTATACACATGTACCATTACTCTGTAAAGATCACAATATAGAATCACTTCAGATACTGTCAATGTGTTTACACTTAAATTTCTTGAATTTTTGTTTTCCAGATAAGAAATAACAAGAAAACTGCTATTCTAGTAAAAGAAGTGAATCCTAAAAAGAAGCTTTTTTTAGTGTACAGACCAAATACAGGGAAACAACTCAAGTTAGAAACATGTTCAGACCTGAAAAAGAAGTATAAGAAGGTAACCTTTAAAATGATGCTAATTTTAAATTTAGAAAGTGAAATTAATGTGAGGATTTTCAGGGTCTAGCAAGGGAAAGTCCAACTCCTATGTAGGATGCGCAAACGGGCTATTAGAGTAGTGATGTACAGTGTGTTCTAAGCAACGATTCTGAAGCCTTTAGCTGCTTACTACTGCTGTCTTCTGGAATACTCCGGTGGATTATCTTGTTTAGCAGCTGGTATGATACCTGACGCTTCTGTTAAAACAATCTTATGTTGTTGAATTAATGAAAACTTGACGAAGAACTCTGAGATCAGCTGGAGTACCGGAAAAGTTCCGAGATTCTGATATTGTTGTTGAGGTTCTGCTATGTTCAAGCATTCTGTTTGTCCTTAGGTGAGATTTCGTGTCAGTTAGATAGCCTGAAATTATGTATCCTTTCTCATAGTCATGACCAAAGTGTGTGTGTGGGGGGGGG